GAGATAAAAGTAGTCTGGTGCTTGTAAAATGATTCTAAATGATGACGTGTCTCCTGTTGATATCTCTGGGTTAGGTTGTAATTTTATACGATCAGCAGGGCTGAAATTTAGCTACATGGCCACTAAAAATGTAGGCAGATGCGGAACAGCTTGGCTTGTATCATTAAAACCTATCCAAATGTGGATACTGTATGAGTGAGAACTGATATCTTCTAATAATCAGATAGACAAAGTCTGGATCAATTTGAAGTTACGAAGGAGAGAGATTATTTCATAAAACTAATGGGGAAACCAAAATAAAAATATTAGCAGAGGTTAAATTAGATAAGGTGAAAGAAAATAATTTAAAGCTTGGTTGCTAACCTATTACTACACCTTTCTCGCAATGTCATATCTATATTTCGACATGCTCCAGAATCCTGGAAGACTTTTCACTTTTCCGATTCAATGCGGAAGATGAACCATTCAGGCACCAGTCACCTGAAGGCATCACTTAAAAATTTGGAACGTGTGCAACGAAAACTTTTGCCTATATGGAAGTGTGATACTGTAAACGTTTAAAGGTACTCTACTACTTATCAACAATATTCAAAGTCACTTATCAGCAATATTCCAGAAAGTTGCATCTCTTCAAATAACTGAGTAATTTAACATTTTACTTGAGTATTTTTGCGATCACTGATCAAGACTTGAATAGTCCATAGGTAAATAAACTGTAAAGGGGTAGCAATATGCAAAATTATGGGTAATTTACTATGGTCCAACAAAATGTTTCACGATAAAGATCGGGCCTAAAAATGAAAAACTTGCAAAAGCCGCTGTATGGGGAAAAAAAATAAACAGAAAAGAGGAGATAACTTCTGTTCCCGCACATTATACGACGCAATATTTACACATCAACGGATAGAGAGTTGGATAATCGACTCATTCTCAGCAAATCATTATCTTATCTGAGATAGACCGACCGATCGCTCGATGTCTTTGCAACGAATGACCTGACCCCTATTATTAGCGATTAAGCCATCCCGACTATTATTTTGACCATTCTTTGCCGCTTGTTTCTCTTCCACTTGCGATAGGCTGCAGAGAAGAGAAATGTTCATCGAGTTTCCCTTTCTTCTAGCTTTGTCTTATTGTCTGGCGCTGAACTTTGACCTTCCTCTATTTTTTGCACATTTCTCAGAATAAGATGTCCTAAAGTGCATAAATACTTTTTCTGAGTATGTCGATTAGTGAAAATGTTTGGAATTTTATTCCATACTGTTTGAAGGATGATGGGATAGAACTATAGAAATGCGCAAATGTATCAAAGCTATTAAAATTTGTCGCAAGTCTTCCGTTATAAGATGATGCTTAGCGTCGCGGTTTTGGTTTTAAATTTTTCTAGACAGTAAGTACAAAGCGGAAAGATAAGGTTCAAGTCTACATCTACATTTCCCTTTTTGTCCTAATTTTCCAGTCTTCAACTTCCCTAACCTAACGCCTATACTTTAAAAACGGATCAAACAACGGTGGCCAAACTTAGGAACACATCAGTGATCGGTCATCATTGTTTGTCGCTGGAATGCATTTTATAGTGATGGCATCACAAGCACGGGAGGGTTAAAAAGAATAGTGATAGTGAAGCAATCCAATGGATCGCCATCTCTTGTATCCTTCCATACCCATCATCAGCATAACGGGTCATAAATTTAAACAAGACTTTTTCGAATGGAAAGAGGAGAAGAGAAGAGATACCAGCCTGAGTAATATGATGATGATATGTGTGAAGCCTTCCCTTTCTATCATTAAATCATTGAGGTATTTATCTATTTATTCATTTTCTTCGCATCTTTTTGTCATTCCTGTTCATAATAATGAAATTAGTCATTTAAATATTCCATCTATCTCTTCTCAATGGTAATTATTTCATTGAGCGCAAAAAAAATACATATATATGCAAGTATAGCAATGAGCGCATAAGCACAAAAGAACTATTGAGTGACAAATCCCTTCAATGATTCTAGAAATTTCCGATCAGTTTTGATTTTGCTGTCTTTTTTTTCTTTTTTTCTCAAATCAGTACACCGAGTAAAGTGATTTATTGAAAGGTTATGGATGTCATTTTACCAGAAAAATGGAAGGATTGGATATTTGTGTGTTTTAATAAACAATTCATTGTCTTAATAAATCATTTATTACGATAGACGGAATTGACCCTTACTTTTTAACCCTTATAATTTAAAGTACCTCGTTTTCTGCTCTGATCTTGTCATTTGGGTTCAGTTTTTCTACCATCCGGAAACAACCCCGCACAAGGACATATTGTAGCAGTTGTCACACCTTAGGTTATGTTATATTGGCTATTATTGGACAAAAAAAAAATGTTTCTTTCCTGCTTGAGAGCCCAAAGTGTTATTAACTTAACATTTGTTTTTTGAATTGAATCATTCGCACTCTTCTTGTTCCACAGACAATTTCTTCAAAATTAAAAACATTTAGCTGGCAAACAATGATTGATAATTACTGTTACTGCCATTTCTGCCGTTACTTCTGCCACTACTACTACTACTACTACTACTACTACTACTACTACTACTACGGTAATTAAGCTATTGTCATCTAATTCACTTATTCAATTTATTTCTTCAGCATCATTTAACTTCCTTTTTTTCTTGCTAAAGCACTTTGATGTAAAGTAATGGCTTCCATAGGCGCCACTTTTTAAAGTTCTTCAAGGTAATTTAACATTCTATGACCTTCGTAACCTCTCCCTCCCTCTC